CAGGCTGTGGACACTGAGCCTGTCCTCTCTGAGTATCCAGGTCTGCCTGTGTCCAGTTCCTAAGCAGGTCATTCTAAGCAGATCCCCTGTGTGTTAGGGAGCCAGCCAGGGTACCGGCTGTGTCTGAAGGTGACTTTGCTGTGGGACTCTCTCTTGGCGACAGAGACCCCCAGGGCAGGGAGGGACTATTCAGGCTCTGATGTCACCTGCTGCTACATTTCCAGCACAAGCACTCCCAGTCCTGCATTCAGAATCCTGCAACCCTCCAGCCAGCTGGCTGGTTTGCAGAATAGTTTGCTCTCTCAAAGCTATAATTCACGAGAAGTGCAGGTGGGCGGTAAGTTTATATATCCGTCATCTTGAAACTCCTACATCTGCTGAAAAAATCTAGTGCAATTGTCCAAAGCATTTTCTGCTGAAACTCCGCTTTCCATCAGCTCAGTTAAGGACCCAGGTCCAGCCGGGTCTGATGGCCGGTAATAGGACAGAGCTCTTACACAGCCCAGGCCCAGCTGAGACCCTGGTCAGTCACAGTGACCCTGCGACCTTGAACCTTGTCACCTATGATCCAGAACACGAGTTGTCATAGCGACGGGGACACACCCACAGCCCCAGCACAATGACTAGCTGTCCTGGGACTGGCTCCTGCCCACACTCCACAGCACCCACTGGGGAAGCTCACACTGAGAAATAACAAGTGGAATTCTCTACACTCGGGTCCTGCCTGTGACAGTGATCTTGATATACCTGTCCTACTGCACTTTTACTACAGTCCCTACTGTAACAGGACTGTCCTACTGCACTTTTACTATAGTCCCCACTGTAACAGCACTGTCCTACTGTACTTTTACTACAGTCCCCTACTGTAACAGCACTGTCCTACTGCACTTTTACTACAGTCCCCACTGTAACAGCACTGTCCTACTGCACTTTTACTACAGTCCCCACTGTCCTACTGCACTTTTACTACAGTCCCCACTGTAACAGGACTGTCATACTGCACTTTTACTACAGTACTTATGGTAACAGGGCTGTCCTGCAGTTCTTTCACTATAGCCCTCTGCTTTTGACTGATAACAGAGTGCAGGAATGGTAAGATTTGCTGTACAACTCTGCAGGCTGCAGGGTCTCAGGGTCATGCAGAATCAATGGGTCTGCGACCCGGGTGAGAGATCGCAGTTTGGCCACCGGGGCTATAAAACAGGAGCCCACTGGAGTGAAAAC